CAACCTTCCAGCTTGGTTTCTTTGTGGTCATCAACATTATTTGCTGACTCCTTGCATCTATGTTGCCTTTCACTTTCGTGGTTTTAAAGCCACTGTGACCCTCTCTCTTTCTTCTGTTTTCCATTTCGGTAATCTTGTTTACTGTTTTGATGTATTATCCGTTGTTTCCCCCTCTATAAACTCTGTTTTCCACTTTATTTTAACATGAAAGCTAGTTAAGAAAAAGTCTTCGAGCTGCACATATTTACAGCGACTTGACATCAGAAGTCAACAAACACGAGACAAAACCTTTGGACTGGAAAAAATTGTTGATTAAATGTGATGAGAAATGTGGATCAAATGTTTTTGGAATCTAAATGTTTTTTTTTTAATTTAACTGAAATGCAAGGTTGATGCAAATGAAGGAATCCGTGGACGAAATTTTATCGACATTTCCAAAGGAACTTTTTTTTTCCCCAACAAGACTGACAGATAATTTTGTGGAAAATTGTTGAGATTGGCTATTCCTGACGAACTTCCGGAATTCGGCTGCTATCTTGTAGTGCAAGAATATAAGAACGTAGTTGAGATTCTTGAGATTATGCATCATGTGCAACAATATGAACAATATTCTCCTATATTCATCCAATCATAAACAACAAACGATTTTATTATGACAGCCACGAAGATAACAACTCAAACGCAAAGACTTTACATATCAAACTTTATTCTCGTTATTTGGCCTTCGCTAAATTTTACGGACTTATATCATTACAAACAAACCACCATGGTTTACGTATATATACTCATAAAGACACATAATTGCATATATGGTGGTGTTGAATACTATCGACTTTTAGTGGCCGGGTTGTGTCTGAACAGCTTCTCCGGCATATGAGCAACACCTTGAGCAGCTACGGTAACCTCTGTAGCAGCAGCCGTGGTGGCAACCTCCTCCACGGCCTCCTCCGTTGTATCCTCCTCCACGGTGTCCTCCTCCATTGTATCCTCCGCCTCCGTTGTATCCTCCTCCTCCGTGGTTTCGTCCTCCGTTGTAACCTCCTCCTCCGTTGTAACCTCCCCCTCCGTTATAACCTCCCCCTCCGTTGTTACCTCCATAACCACCGTGGCCACCACCATATTGGTCATGATCAGGTTGTAAGGTATCCTCACTCTCTGACTTCACTGTGCAAATCCAAAACAACACATTATTTCTTTTTTTTTTGTTCAACAACAACAACACATTATTTCAAAGATATACTATTAGCACGTGCGGAGATGTGCATTCCTTTCCCGGATTTCTAAAAAAATTCTTGAAATATTTTTAAAACATATGTATATAAATTCGTATATATTTTTTTTTAGAGATATGGTATACAGGTACACAAGATTGTATATAATTTCTATATAAAATTTGGTTTAAATGTTTGAGATGGTCCTGATACGCATAATAAGACTTCATGACAATATCTTACATACTCATATGTTTGGACCTGAGTAAGTCAAAATATCGTAGTTCAAATCAACTTTCCTAAATTAGAGGGGACGAAACAGTTTGATGAAAGTATCCTTGCAATCACTTTGGGCTTTGTGTAAAGCTTCCAACGGAAAGAAACGTAAAATTTACAACATTCAATGTACGTTCAAGTTCAGTTAGCCTCGCAAATGTTACTCTTTTTTTGACAACATCATAAAAGTAAACTAAGATCTATTTAGACTCAATATATAAAAAAGTTTTACGTACCTGACTGCCCTTCGGATGTCGCGGCAACTTCTGAGACAACGAATAGAAGTGCAAAGAGACCCAGCAAAACTAATGCCTTGGAAGCCATTCTCAAATTGTTTAAAATATTTTGTTGTATGGAGAACTGATGAATGAAATGTTACCATGTATGCCATCTATTTAAAGAAAACGAGACAGAGGAAGTGAGAAAAGTCAAATAACCCTAGGCCAATAGAAAAAGAGGAAATTTTATATCAAAATGAAAATCATGGAAAATAAAAAGGAAATTGTAAGGAGATAAGTATCAATGGCGTCGGGGCCCTTTTATGGTTGGTTGTTGGATTCATAGTAAATAATTTTGAACCTCCATAAATGGCAATCCCCACTAGTCTTTTAGATCTTTCTATAAAACGTCTTAAACACAGCGCATTGACACGTATCTAGTGAAAAAAAAAATAGTATTTGACTATTTGGACATATATCGTTCATTATTGGGGAGTTTGATACTTGCAGTATTGGTCATGCATCGTCCAATCTCAACCGACATATTTTAATAGACGGGACCGACAAATCATATGGACTTCGATGAGTAAGTCCATATACTGGACGAGACGTAACATTTTCTACAGACGGGCTCTGAAGAGTGCAAGATTCTACAGACGTAACATATTCTTAGTGACATTTCTTATTGAAAATATTTGAGTTTACCATTTGCCTTGTTAGACTGCAATGTTTCATAAGAAAAAAATCACATATAAAATGATAATACAGACGAAAAACTTGATTGTACAAAACAATTATTTTAGACAAGTGGCATGTGATACAATACACACAGGGCCGGTTCAACATACACGTAGGTCCTTGTGCAAAAATAAAAATTTGGGCCTTATTAATATTATCTTTGATATTTTAATTATTCTTAAAATTATTTTTAAAACAAATTAAAAAATTAGATATTTTTCTTTGTTTCTATTAAAATATTGTATATTATTACATTTTTTATAATATTATTTTATTTTAAATATAAAATATATATACTGATTAAAAAAAAAGAAAAAAAAAGTTGGAGTGAACAATGAGACGGTCACACTGACCACCACATAAACTAAACCAAGCTGAATACACACATCTATATAAAAATAGGAGTAATTTTTGATTTCGTCTCCTAAGATGAATTTCTAAGTTAACCACTAACTCTATAGTAGTCAATAAAAAATTGTCAATTCATAATATAAATTAGAAAAGATAAAAGCAAATAAAATAATAGTAACTGTTAATTCCTAAAAAAAAAATCTTTTTTTTTAACATTGTTAACACCATCTATAAAATCATAATTTTTAAGTCCTAAACAATAAATCTTAAACCTTTAGATAAATCATAAATTCTTGGATAATTAATCTTAAAATTTTAGATAAATCATAAATCCTTTAGTGGCTAATTTAGACCCACTTTAGTGGATGCCAAGATACTCTTTTATAATTCAAAAACAAAAAAAAAAACTTAAATCCTTGGATAAGCTCTTGATTAAATTCTAAACTTTTGAGAACATCTATTAAGGTTTATCCTAAAGTTTAAGATTTACACCAAGGTTTAGGTTACCAAGGGTTTAAAATTTATTCAATGGTTTAAGATTTATCCAAGAGTTTAAAGTTTGATTTTAATGCTTAGGATTTAATATTTACGGTTTTACTGACATCCTTAACAACGTTAAAAGAAAAGTATTTTTTTGTAATTACTATTATTATTTATTTGTTTTAACTTTTATGAATTTCAAAAAAATAATTTGACGTGGCACATTTTTATTAGTTATTATGTTAATGATGAATCTAGAGGTTCACCCTAGGAGACAACCCAAGAATAACTCATAAAATATAATAAAAATTTAAAAGATTTGGTATGGTGAGAAATTAAAAAGGTATATTGTTCCTCTCTTCTCTCTCTCTCTTCCTTTTTGCCTTAAAATCACTTACTAGCTTCTTTTCTGATCTCAAGTGGTTTCCATGAATAGACCTAAGCATAAAAACCTCACCCAAAACTCAAACTCAAATCCAAACCGAAGAGGGTGGTTCTAATTCGGATATAGTGTCTTACCGAAACGGATTTAGGATTCATTGTCTCCAGACACCGGTCCTCCGATCAGTTATACCCAAAAAACAAAATGTTACCAAATACACCAGAAATTATATATAGTAGGTAACCTACACACATTTATCCTAAACACAAAATGTTACCAAATACACAAAATGTTACCAAATACACCAAAAATTATATATAAAAAATATGAAAGGTTTTTGATTAATGGATCTGAGGGTGAATATGGTGTTGCCACGTAGGAAATGACAATTTTGTTAATAACACATGAGCTCAAGGTTATTTTTTAATAATGCTCATCAAATAATATAAAAGGGATACTAAATGACCAAAATAGTCACTTTTATTTTAAAATTTTTAATATTTATTTTTTATTTTCTTATATTTAAAAATTTTGCAATTTGAAATTCTATCTCCAAAACCCCACACTTTAACTCTAAACCATAAATCTAGATTAGTTAGCCATATGGTATAAATGCATATTTACTATTTGATAAAATCTCTTTTGGTTATTTTTCTTTTTGAGTGGTATTTTTGTGAAACTAAACTAAAAAAATATCCAAAAAATATCCAAATAAATATTTCTTTCATACAGGCAAAGAAAAACAATCACTTGGAGATAACCAGGAACAGAGGAAAAAAAATGTGTACTCATTTATGGGCTCACTATAGAAGAAGTAAAGAGTACCGTGACAAATGTGTGTGCAAATATTGTAAGAAGATCTTCACTTGTGACTTGTATAACAAAGTGGAACCACCAACTTGCGCATCTATCTATACTATTAAAACTGAAGTACAATTTTAAACTAACCTTTAATTTTCTTCAATAATTACAAATGAATGCCACTGAACTATATTAAATATCAAACATTTTAATTATCTACAATATCTTGAAGAAATATTTAGAAGATTTGAACAAAAAATATTCATTAAATAACCAAATATTGGTATTTTATAAGTTTTAAATTACCTAATATAGTTTTACATATGATTTGAATTAATAATCTCTTTTTCAATTTGTACATGTGATAGTACGAGGATGTTTTTTCTACTTTCGATTTGCTTTTTACTTTCTTTTTTAAAATATATATTATTATCATAATTAATATAGATATATTAATTTTATATATGATTATTAAAAAGTTAATTATAATATTTAACTGTGTAAAATCAACTAATTAAATTCAAACAAAAAACAACACAACACAAATTATTTTTCTAATATGGGAATAGTTTTAAAATTATATATTATACTATATATAATATTATTAAATTTTATTTTTCCCATTCCAAAATACCTGTCAGTTTTAATTCTTAATTCTTATATAAAAATCGAATTTTTTTTTATAATTCCAATAAAACAGAAAATAAAGCTTCTAATAAATGATTTATCATATAACTTTATATTGGAATAAAAAAAGAAATATATCACGTATTGAAATTTTATTAAACATCACATATTATAAATAGGATTTTTTAAAAAAAAAATAAATACAATTAGTAAATAAATACTTTTTATTATAAATTGTCAACCATAAATTAATTCAGAATTAAAAACACAGGTCAAAATCTTTTTATTTTAAAATTGAGATGTATATACAAAACAAATTTACTGTTAAAACGCGGATCACTATTCACCACGATAATCTATTTCAAAAAATACTTAGTTAGCTATATAGTAGGAGAAACTCATTTTGATTGTAAAGTTGACAATCTATATCAGAATTGCATAATAGTAACGAAAATGTTTTTATAATAAAAAATGCATACCATCTTTGGTATTTTTGTATTAGATTATAACAAAAAAAAAACTCTCGCGCTTTCAAAACGCGGGTCAAAATCTAGTTCATCTTAAATTTAGGAAGTAACTCAAAGCATAGCAAGATTGCCAAGATCATACTAAATGACAATAGGTCATTAGTAAGGAAGGTTCTTTTAAGAGTGAAAAAGTTTAAGAGGGTATCTTTCGTCAAAAGAGGGGCTCAATCTAACGGTGGGAAGATCTTCATCTATAGCTAAACATCTGACGCGTATGTGCAGTTCTGCATTCAAAAGACTCTAAAAGTCACCAAAATCACCATATTTCTCTAGAACGTACCTGAACTTGTAAATACTGTAAAAATCCTTTATCATATAATAAATAGTTAGTAAAACACTCATATACCATGACTAAAAATGGGTCAAATCATGGCATATCACCCATCTTAACAATCTATCTTTAGTAGGCAAACGCCTTAGCAAAGCCAAACAAACCATAAACGAGTTAATGGGAATACACTCCTTGAATCAAATAACTTTGTTCCACGGCACCGTAGGAGCAAGCGTACTAAGATTCTCCCACGTGACCTTGGATGAGAAGACAGAGCCAAAGGAGTCATTAGACTTGTGCCATAGAAAGGTGTCTGGTCTTTTGCAGAAAATGGAGGTGACCTTGCTGGAGGAAGGCGCCATGACCCATCTCTAGCAGCGTCACAAACAGACGCACTTTTTCTCAATCTCATAGTTCTAGGGCTACCCTCACCAGAAACCTCTATCAATGGTCCTAGTGATGTCCAGCAGTCATACCAGAAGCTCACTGCAGTCCCGAGCACCTTAGATCCAGCATACTTCAAAGTCTTCCAAATGTCTTATTCCCAATCCACCTTCCTGCTTTGGTTTGCAAATATCAATCCAATCAACCCGAGCACCTTTAGCACTGGAAGTACCATTCCGCCACAGAAAACCCACACATAAAAAATCAACTTTCGCATAGAAAGCTTTTGGCAAGACAAAAACAACACTCCAGAAATTAACTATGCCATAGACAACTGAAGAAATTAATATAATGTTTCCAGCGAATGACAGGTACTTGACCATCCAAGAGTGTAGTGCAGCAGAGATTTTGTCGAGGAATGCTAGCAGTGTAGATAGGGTGAGTCTTCCGGGGTTCAAGGGTAAGCCTAGATAACGGGTTGAAAAAATTATGCGCCTGAAACCCGTTAGCTCACTTATCTCAGCAGCCTCAATATCAATTTAACCTGCAAAGAATATTTTAGACTTCAGTGGATTCACTCAAGACC